TTATATTGCCGTACAGTACGCTTTTATAACAGTGACACACTATTATAAGATAAAGTGCGTCCGTAGAATACAAAGACAATGTATCAAGAGCGAACATCTACTATAAAAAAAATGCCTTTAATCTAAACAATATTAAAGTTATTCCTTCTTCTCTCCATCGCAATTTTTAGTAATATACTGTACTTAACCCTTTTATTTCCAAACAAAAATATCGAGTACTCTTCCTCTTTCCTCCCAAAATAATACCGTACTAATCTTTATCCCTTCCTTTCTTAGACAATAAAAAACATGAGCAAAATAAATCTTGCAATACAGTAATCCATAAAATATTTTAAAAAGGTAAAAATGAGTGTAAAAGAGATGTACAATATAACGAACTTCAATCAGGCTATAGGATCTTGTAGTTCTTTACAGGACATCTCTTTTCTAGAATATTTCATATATGTCTGTCTCTTGCTACTTGTATCGAGGTCTCTTTTGTGGGCCGGTGGTATTTTACTGAATCTAATAGCTGGTGGGGCTCAAGTAATTATTCAAGACAGCCTGATTAAACCCATTCAAACCGGCGTTCGTATTATCTTGCTGCATTATAATACGCAGGCATATGAGCCTATGTAATACTGTAAATACCACCAAGTAGATAGTTCTGAAAAGAACTGTTGGTGGTTGAGAATGTCTCGACGTTTCGATTGAGGTGCTTCTATCGTCTAAAAAACATCACACATTAATGTATTCGAAGGAAAATAAAATAGACAACTAGGGGGAGACTAATGATTATACAGTAGGAGAAACTACGTCCATGCCAACAATATAGTGACAATCACAGATCTCTTTCAGATAAAATACTTAATTAGAAAGTCATGCTTACCTCGGCAGCTGACAGCCAAGGCGGCAAATATTGCTACCAACTTTAGCATTTTAGGTTAGCTTCTCAAGGAGAGAGAATGTTCTTCGAAACCCCAGTGATGTAGTAAGTTGGGATGAATGAGTCCTTAACGGATCTGAATCATGATCCTATCTTGGGTATACTTCCAAGCTTGCCTTCAAATGGCGTTAAATGGTCTATTATGATAAACTCACGGTAGCATGGTTCTTTTGTCTCCCTCTCTTTCAAATATTGACAAGCAAACCTTAATTTCCGCAAGTTTGCTCCATTGTTGTTTTCACTTTTTTTTTTGGCAGAACATTCGATACTATAAAGAGGGCGTATGAGAAACTTATTGTTTACATTTGTTATTGTATTATAAATAGATTTTATGCGATTGTTCTTTCCTAAATTTCAAGATATTGCATAGTCAAATATAGGCCTATGAAACCAAAATAATTCTCAGAGGAGTTTATTTCTCCAATAAGTGTAAGTGGTGGGTATGGAGTTGAATAGCATAGTGGTTAAATGCTTGCCTTCTAAACCAAGAGTCCTGGTTCAATCCTTGTCACAGCAGGACTTATCTCTCACGATTAAAATCTACTCCATTCTCTATGGCTCAAAAAGAGAAATATAAGGCATCGATCCCTTGTATGTGGCGAATATACTTGGCGTTGGATGTGAATAAAAGCATTAGAACAACGAATGTTTTCGGTCAAAGTGACATTAGTAGGAAAGATCAAGAAATTATTAAGTAACATGAAAAGAAAAGAACACATTATTATTATGAGCAACGATCATTTTCGGTCATCATATATGATAATTGTCAATATTAACATGAAATGTAGTTGGAACGATAGTATCTCGTTTGAAATCAATATTAGGACATTATGGGACCAAAATACCTGTTGAACTTAAATGTTAATAATTATGTATGAATGTCTTCGGGGGATAATGATAAACTTATTCACCGACGACGAGGCATAAAATTGTATTTATTAAAATACTATAGTTACACATTTTCCGTGACCGACTGGAAGATTTAGGTTAAAACTTTAGTCGTCGTAGTTCTCCTGTCAACTTGACAGAGCTGGACAATCGCTTTCTTGTAGTATTATTTGCTCAAGTCTCTTCGTCTTTTCGTTGACTTTATTTCTGAGCCTTTTAAACTCAAAAATATTTCCACTTTTCATAGCAATTTTGGCTATGTTCTCACAAGTAGGAAGAAAGAAAAGGAAATGGAACAGAAAAAGATAAATTAAAATTAAATGAAATGGAAAGGAAAAGAAAAAAAGTGGAAACAAAAACAGAAAAAGGATCAAAATAGAAAATAGAGAAAAAGGAAACAAAATGAAAGAGGAAAAACAAATGAAAAATGAAGATAAAAAGGGAAATAGATTTACTCATAAAAAATGAATGCATGTAATGCTGTCCTTATAGAGCTCAATTAACGCTGGTTGATTAATAATGCTTGTTACAATAACAACAATACAATGTTCTTTATTGTATTTGTTAACTTTTATTACTAAACTTAACACAAAAATTAGTAAAAATGTTCATCGATATAAATCTTAATAAATGCTGTTTATAAAACAATTACGGTATAAACAGATGCTACGATTGTACAAATCACAATTCCTGAAAGCGATGGCAAAGTGGCATCGATAAGAGATACGCCTTGCTATTGAGATTTTAGATAAGATAATACTGTATTTTATCACAATATAGTTATATTAGAATTGATTACACAAAAATAACAGCGATAATTTACCATCTTATCCGATGCTGCCGTCTAGTATGTATATATATGTATATATATATTATATTTATAGCCTATATATATATACATATGTATATATGTAGTAAATAATATTGTTACTGTTAAATGTGATTCCATGTTGAACGACGAATCGTATTTAATGACAATCCGCACATTTGCCATAGACTGCAGACGGCGTTGAGTCGTCAAGCCGACGGTTGTTCTACAGTCGTACAACGCAGTATGTGCACGGCTTGCGTAATTATACTGTAGAAAAAATTACGCACCTGGCTTAAGGACAATACTGGCATGCGCAACGTGTCATTAGGGAGATTTCACAACCTTAAGAAAACGATAACGAATACGTCATTATCATTATCGTTATTCGTGCCTACAACATTCTTGACAATATAAATATGATCCTTCATCCATTGAATTGCATAATTATGCTACTGTAGAGGAGGGGTTGGCTAAAAAATTGATGACGTAACCGTATTCGTTATCGTTTTCGTAAGCTTGCGAAAACTTCCTGTTATTGGCAACACACACATTAGAAATGTTCTTTTGGGCCATAACTCGCTTTCAAAATGTTCAAAAGTACTCACCTATATAAACTAATGTTAATTTAGAGAGCTTAATATAATTATATTTACAACAAATTATTACTTAAAGGTACGGTATTTAAAAAGAAATTATACAATTCGATAAGGTTTAAAAGTATATAAATAATGCAATGAACTTGGTTATATACGAAATAAATACAAAAGTAGAATTGATAAACATTCACATGACGTCATCTTAAGAAACATGCTCATTCAAAGAAAATCTGTTTTATAATTATTTTCTCCATTGGCGACTTCAATCTATTGTCTTCACGGACATTATTTTTGAAACCAACTTAAGACTGAGTAATTTTTTATTAGATCTAAATTTATCATAATTGGAACTTTCCAATAATATCTGAGTGTTTTGAGGTACGTATGAATACACCGACATCAGAATACTATATAAAACTTATTATCCAAAAAATGGATCTTTCGGAGTGCCAATCAAACTTAAAAACTGACCAATCAGAACAGTGCCAGGGATACGCTCGTGTTCAACAAACGCATGTGTTGTCCCCAAAAACGCAACTGTTCACGTACAGTTACGCTATTTTCTTGTGGGACCTTAGCAATAATATCCAAGAGGCGAGGCTTAGCGGAAAGATCGAATGAAACAGATTTGAGAACATGTAATGTTTTCATCAACAAAGAGTACAATTAACAGAGTGAATGAAAACATGGTATCTTGAAATTCTCAGAGAAACTATCATCTTCAGTGTGTTTTATAACATCTTGTTGACGAGATAAATTTCAACTGGTTAAAGGAAGCACCGACTTTTGAGTTGTAACTCCATTTCTTAAAAAAAAGTAAATTTTTAAACACAGATTACTTAATTTGCTAGAAGCGTGGATTCAACCCACTAGTCCCTTTTCTTAATAATTCCAATGATAATGATAATGACTGTCTCTTATACACATCTATCTTAATAAATGCTGTTTATAAAACAATTACGGTATAAACAGATGCTACGATTGTACAAATCACAATTCCTGAAAGCGATGGCAAAGTGGCATCGATAAGAGATACGCCTTGCTATTGAGATTTTAGATAAGATAATACTGTATTTTATCACAATATAGTTATATTAGAATTGATTACACAAAAATAACAGCGATAATTTACCATCTTATCCGATGCTGCCGTCTAGTATGTATATATATGTATATATATATTATATTTATAGCCTATATATATATACATATGTATATATGTAGTAAATAATATTGTTACTGTTAAATGTGATTCCATGTTGAACGACGAATCGTATTTAATGACAATCCGCACATTTGCCATAGACTGCAGACGGCGTTGAGTCGTCAAGCCGACGGTTGTTCTACAGTCGTACAACGCAGTATGTGCACGGCTTGCGTAATTATACTGTAGAAAAAATTACGCACCTGGCTTAAGGACAATACTGGCATGCGCAACGTGTCATTAGGGACTG